TAAGGCGCCTCTGGGACAGCTTCAAGCGTACCAACATCAGAATTATAGGGGTGCCAGAAGATGAGAGAGAGCAAGATATTGAAAACCTATTTGAAGAAATAATGACAGAAAACTTCCCCCACCTGGTGAAAGAAATGGACTTACAGGTCCAAGAAGCGCAGAGAACCCCAAACAAAAGGAATCCAAAGAGGACCACACCAAGACATATCATAATTAAAATGCCAAGAGCAAAAGATAAAGAGAGAATCTTAAAAACAGCAAGAGAAAGAAACTCAGTTACCTACAAGGGAATACCCATACAACTGTCAGCTGATTTCTCAACAGAAACTTTGCAGGCCAGAAGGGAGTGGCAAGAAATATTCAAAGTGATGAATACCAAGAACCTACAACCAAGATTACTTTATCCAGCAAAGGTATCATTCAGAATTGAAGGTCAGATAAAGAGCTTCACAGATAAGGAAAAGCTAAAGGAGTTCATCACCACCAAACCAGGATTATATGAAATGCTGAAAGGTATCCTTTAAGAAGAGGAAGAGGAAGAAAAAGGTAAAGATACAAATTATGAACAACAAATATGCATCTATCAACAAGTGAATCTAAGAATCAAGTGAATAAATAATCTGATGAACAGAATGAACTGGTGATTATAATAGAATCAGGGACATAGAAAGGGAATGGACTGACTATTCTTGGGGGGGAAAGGGGTGTGGGAGATTCGGGAAGAGACTGGACAAAAATTGTGCACCTATGGATGAGGACAGTGGGTGGGGAATGAGGGCGGAGGGTGGGGCGGGAACTGGGAGGAGGGGAGTTATGGGGGGGAAAAAAGAGGAACAAATGTAATAATCTGAACAATAAAGATTTAATTAAAAAAAAAAAAGACATCAATGATGAGAGAGAATCATTGATTGGCTGCCTCCTGCATGCCCCCCAGTGGGGATCAAGCCCACAACCTGGGCATATGCCCTGACCAGGATTCGAATCGACGACCTCTTGGTTCCTGGGTTGACGCTCAACCGCTGAGCTACACCTGGCTGGGTTTCTTACAGCTTTTTAGTACAACAGAAATTCTCTGCTTGGAATTTCTTTTAAAAAGCTTTAAACTACCATATCACCTCCAGGTTTAATAAAAAGAAAACATAAATTTCCATAGCAAAACCTAATTTTGCCTGTGTGTTTTCTCTCTAGATTTCATAGGCTGTTGTTATAAAATTAACAATTCAGATTGGAGTGTTGGTAGAGCCTCCACCTGCAGAGAGTGGCACAGTTCCTCTCCAGAAAGGCAGGGGGCGGGCGCCAGGTTTTCACTGGCCTGTAGAGGGACTGATCATACACAGCTGCATTTCCTCTGTTCTGTTCCAGCCTGAAGTATACAAGGGGGCTGGGTTTTTAGAAAGGGAAGGAAAACCATCAAGAGGTGTTTATCTCTCTGTCCCTCTCCCTCTGAAGTAAATAAACCAACCAAAAAACAGACATTTAAAAAATACAATTTATAGGAATAGATTTTGGAGTAGGTGTGTAAGGGGAAAATTCTATATAGTTCAAAATTACCCTGAAAATTCCTTAGGAAGCAAACATCTGTGCTCTCAAAAAGTCCAAAGCAGCCCAGCCAGCATGGCTCAGTGGTTGAATGTAGACCTATGAACCAGGAGGTCACAGTTCAATTCCCAGCCAGGGCATATGCCTGGGTTTCAGGTTCGATCCCCCATGTGGGATGTGCAGGAAGCAGCCGATCAATGACTCTCTCTCATCATTGATATTCATATGTCCCTTCCTCTCTGAAATCAATAAAAATATATTTTTTTAAAAGTCCAAAGCAGTCCAGCTTTGGTGAAGCTCAACTGAGCATGAGGTAGTCAGCTTGTATGCAGAAGCCATGTCGTAGATAAATCATGTTTTTTAAGCATCGTACCTCACTTACTATGGCAGAATACCCACCCTTTGAAAGGTACACAGAAACTGAGCCAATGGAGAGATTGGCAGAAGCCCCAGTCACACCTACTGTGGGACAAGTACTTGTTGTGTGGAAAAGCAGGCAGAATCACTGGAACTATTGCATTGCTGCCCTTGGTGTCCTTCCCCTCGACCACCCCCCCCCCCCCCGGCCCCGACAAATGCATGTAGCTGAATGATCAAAGGTGCATATGATGGGTCTCCACGCTATTTTCTGAGCACCTCTTCCATGTCAGAATAGCTCACAAAGCAGCATGAGTCCTGGATGGAGATGAAACCTATCCCAGAACTGAACTGTTCATTCAGGCTACAAAACCAGAACTAGACACTACCATTTACCAAATAACCTTGCTTTGTGCTTATGCCCAGTCTTCTTCCAGAAAGGGCAGATTTAGCACTGTCATTGTCATTTTCTGTTCATAAGATGTGTCATGTGGAAATTAGAAGTTCAAATCTTAAGAAATGGAAAAATCTTCAGCCTGCTGAAAACTACCAATGTGGCAATCCTTCCTCACAGCACGGAGGACATGTGGAGCAGTAACTGAGAGCATGGGGTCAGGAGCCAGGCAGTCTTGGGCTTGAGCCCAGCTCTGTCCCCGACTAACTGCATGATCTTGAGCAAGTTACTTAACCTCTCTGTGCCCGGTCTCAAATCCAACTCATCTCCCCAACCATACCCCCAGCCTTATTCTCCTGTATTCTAATTTGGTAGCATCAAGCTAAAAAAATCTCTCTCCTCAACTCTTTCTATACCTTCTTCTCCTTGGCTTTGCCTACTCTCCTGCCCCCTCCCTCACTACCAAGTCCTAAAATTCTACCTAAAATTCACCTCCCTGCTGCCGCACTGCCTTATTATTAGCACAGACCTTCTTCTAACACAGCGGTTCTCAACCTGTGGGTCGCCAACCTGTGGGTCGCGATCCCTTTGGGGGTCGAATGACCCTTTCACAGGGGTCGCCTAAGACCATCGGAAAACACATATATAATTACATATTGTTTTTGTGATTAATCACTATGCTTTAATTATGTTCAATTTGTAACAATAAAAATACATCCTGCATATCAGATATTTACATTATGATTCATAACAGTAGCAAAATTACAGTTATGGAGTAGCAACGAAAATAATTTTATGGTTGGGGGTCACCACATGAGGAACTGTATTAAAGGGTCGCGGCATTAGGAAGGTTGAGAACAACTGGTCTAACACATAGATCCCGCTGTCCCTTCCTTACAACCTTACTTTCTGCTCCAGCTGTTAAGGAACTTGGCTGCCTCCCAAACATGACAGGTCCTTTCACGCTTCTGGGCCAGTCCCTGACCTCTGGCCTGGCAAGCCCCAACACCCATCCTTGGGGATGCAGCTCCAAGGTCACCCCACTCCTGAGAGGCTTTCTTCAGCCCCCTCCCCAACTACCTGCAGCAGCCTCACTGCTTCCCAACAGCAGACTGTCAATCCTCAAGTGCAGGCAAGGATCATGCCCTCCACCCGTAGCCCCAGCCCCTGACACAGTGTCCGATACACAGCAGACACTGAAAAAAGCAAGTAGTGGGCACATGGGAGAGACACTGGAAATACTTATCCAATTTAAAGGTAATGTGCCAGTTATCAGTTAAAAATCACCCAGGTTCCAAATACAGAATCTTAAAGATTTTAGTGTGTGGCTGGATTTGGGCACAGAATGGAACAGGAGGTTCCACCCAGGAATGTCAGCATTACAGAATGCCCCAGGGCACAGCAGAGCCCGAGCGCCAGCCCCTTCTGAAGCCAGCCTAAGAGTTTACAGACAGTTTTCCCTCTGGCATTAGCTCCAGTGCCCCTTCACTACCACTAAAAATTAAAGCTGGGCAACAGGCTAGGGCAATCTCTCTCCTTTATGGAGGCCTGTTCGTTCCTTTTCTCAAGTCCCAAGTGCCTAGGTTCTCATCCTGGAGGTAAGCTTTGGGAATGCACACCAACCGCACAATCGGAGCCTTTTTCTATCTTTTTAATCTCATTGAACCCGCAGTGTCTGCAGCATCCAAAGGACCCTCAGCACACCTGAAGCACTACAGAGCTGACACTGGCCTAGCTGGAGCTCACATCTACTCCCCCAAAGGCAAGGCACTAGCCTATTGTACCCCCTACCCGCCACAACCCCATCATCAGGCAAAAAAAAAGCAGCCAGCATCAGGAACCTTGGGAGAGAGACTTGGGGCTTGCTCCTGGACTTGGCTCTCTCAACCAGACTTCACGCACAGATATTGTAACTCACAGGCACACTCAAGTGCCACCCCTAGCTGGTCTTACTAAGACCTAGTGCTTTACTGCCATGTTCCTGGCCGAGACTACCCACCTTGTGTGCTGCATTCTTCCTCCCTGACTGCCAGGTACCAAGCACCCTGCTGCAGGTCCATCCTGGCTGGTGAGACAAGACCTCCCTCCCACTGCACCCCAATACCATGTCACACTAAGAGTCCGACCATCGCACTAAAACCGCTGTAAGTCGACCTAATGCTGGGGGTCTGCATTTTAGGAAGCCACTGCTAACTGGGGCATCCATCATCCAGCCTGTGAAAGAGCAACCCCCTGCCCCACCCATTCACAGAGGGAGCAACTTGCTCCACGCTCTGTAGGTACTGCCACTCTTGTCTGTATTTGCTTTCTGCAACATCAGACAGGTGGAGGTGACTAGCAACAGCAGATTCCTAACGGCCCACAGCAGTCCCTGGGGACCATCTTTCAGGAACTTTTCCCTAGGTAAAGCAACTCCTAAGAAGCCCCTGAAAGTGGGATCGAGTGCAGGAAAGTTGGCCATCTGGTTTGGTTTAACTAAAATTTGAAAATGGAGGTACTTCTGGTCCCCTTTCCCAGGAGATGTGAATGTTAGGAGCTGGAACTCAGGCACAATTCGGTTCTGGGCGACTGAGACTCCTCCCACTATCCCCAACCACGAGGAGGGGCCAGAAGATCAGGAATTCGAGGGGTGATACACAGGGTGGGGCCCGGCGCTCCCGAGGCCTCCGTTTTCCTTGCTTGAAGAGGGTCTCCGGTCCGGCCCACTCACCTCCCGCGCCGAGCGGAGCTGCTGGCGCAGCGCGTCCTTGCAGCCGTAGGGGCCGCCGGCGCCCGCGCCGCGGGGCTGGAAGTGCGCCTCGACGCGCGTGGCGCCGCGGTAGGCGCCCCGGTAGAAGGCCGGCCAGCCGAGCTCCAGCAGCGGCGGCTCCAGGTCCGACTGCTCCGGGAAGTAGGTGCCGGACGAGCAGTCCTGTGACGAGCCGAAGGAGTCCTCGGCCTCCGCCGCCGCGCCCTCCTCGCGGGGCCGCTCGGCCGTGCGCAGAATGGAGCGCACCTCGTCGGGGTTCAGGAAGCGACCCACGCGCTCCTGGCGCAGGAAGGCGGCGAAGGCGTCGGGGCCGCCCGCCACCAGCTCCTCGAGCGCCAGGCGCTGCGTTTCGCTGTACAACTCAGCCAGGTTGGGCGGCCCGCACGGCGACAGGCAGGCGGCGGGCAGCTCGTCCAGTCCCTCCGGCAACAAAGCCATGGCAGCGCTCAGGCCCTACGGAGCTCGGAAGAGCAAGGACGGGCAGGCCTCTTTATAGCCCCTTTGAATCAAACTGGCCCGCGCCATTGGCCGCGCCGCCCCGCCCCGGCTTTCCCATTGGCTGTTTCCTCCTAACGGTGGAGTTCAGACGCAGTGCCCGCCCCTACGGCCCGCCCCTTGACGTGCATTGGCTGCCCCGCGGCCCGGCCCCGCCCCGCCCCGCCCCGCCTCCCGGGCAGAGGTCCTGCTCTGCTCTCGTTCTGGGGTTGCTTCATGGAACTTCATTTTGGTGACTCTGTCCCGCTCCAGGGTAGTCGTTCCTGCTCGGGCCCCGCGGAGCGCGGACCTCTTCACGGTCAGCTGGAGGAGCGACAGGCCCGATGGCCGCGTGGGCCCGGGTGGTGGCCCAGGCAGTGGAGCCCGAACTGAAGCCAGAGAGCCTGGCCCCTGCCGTCCTAGCGCGCCCCCTGCCGGCCCGCCGTTCAAGGCCGGGCGCGATCTGACCTAGGCACTTGGAGAGGCAGGCGCCTGCTCCCCAGGTACACTGACCGCGGTGCTCCTGGGTTCTCAGAGCCTGGGCGTGACCAGCCATGTCTCCTGCACTTAATCATTCATTCGAAAATGGCGGGCTATCGTCATACCCCTCCTTTGATTACACCCTTAGGTAGCTTTCTCTTCTCTCACTTCATCGTGTTTTTGCCTGGCAAAACTCCAACCCCACTCTCCACCTACTTTCCACCTGCACCTAGTTGTGCAGGTTGGCTAATTGTGCTTTAAATTTATTATCTCAAGTGCCTGCTAGCCTACATTCCCTTCATTCATTCTACCGTTTCCTCTCTCTTATTCTTAGTTTGCTTCCTATTCCACTGAGAAAAATAGAAGCGATCAGAGAGAACTTGCACATGCTCTAATCACATCCTCTTCGTCTCTGCCTACAGACTGGGCCTTCTGCGACTATTGATCAACAGTCCCCTCCATTTGGGCCCTAGCTGCCAGCCCCCAACTACTAACCTGTATCACTCCAACCATTCTCTCCTCTCTCCAGGATCATCCATTTCCCTTCTTTACTGGTTCATTCCTATCAGCATTCAAACATGCTGAAATATTTTTCATCTTAAAACAACCCTCTCTCGACCCCACTACATTTCTTCCTCCCCATTTCTCTGCTCATTTTGATAACATAAAACCTCAAAAGAATAGTGTATATTCGCTGTCTCCAGTTTTCCTCCCATTCTTTCTTGAACCCTGTCCAATCAAGCTTAGGCCTCCTTTACGCTACCAAAACCTCTTGTCTAGGGCATCAAGAACGCCACAGTGCTAAATCCAATAGTCAATTTTTAGGCCTCATTTTCCATGTGTAAATGAGAGGGCATATGTACAACTGTAAAGTGCTTTCCTAAGTGTCACAGATTACCATTATTATTTAGAAACCAATAAACTTTTAAACTAGATGAATGCCCATCTTGTGGCAAAGATACCTCTGTTCTTCCCATCCTCTTCCCACCCCCAACCTGTTTATGAAGCTTTCCAAGCCCAAGTGTGGGGCCTTCCATGTGTCCCTGCTCTGCCATCCTGTGTCCAGAAAGGTCCAAGAAAGCACTCTTTCTATCGTCTTCTGAGATACCAACACATGTCTGCAAATGACAAAGACAAGGTCTGTGGTCTGGGACTATGCAACCATATAACTTGTCAATGCCTCTATTGCCTGAGGGAAAAGTAAGAATAACCAGGGTCTCAACTGCGGTGCTATTGTAATGTTAAGTAGTATATAGCATTTTACCTCCTCACTATCAGCTATGTGAGGAAAAGGACTGGGGTGGGAGGTAGGGAAGAGGATAGTGCACTCTCAAGAACAGACCAGAACAGCGGGCAGCCCTATTACATAAAAATATGTCATCAGACAAACCTTTGAAAGTGTAACCAATGTTAATTCCAAAGGGAGCATTGACAGAGTGAAGTTCATTCCAAATCATCTACCTTGTCTTAAATTCACCAGGTTTTACCATCCCCCAGTCTAGAAAGACATCTCCATGTCTGAGACCTCAGAGCTCCCTCTGCTTTAGGGGCCTCCTGGCAGAGTCTTCTGTGGTGGGGGGCAGGGATTCCCCACTTTCTATCCCAGGCATCACCTCTTTGTGAATTCAACTCAGCACAGTTCAAGAGAGCTCACAACAATGACCACAGCCACACTTACAGATGTTATTAAAAGGAATTTAATAATCTTAATTAAAAACTCAACAGCGAATTCCGTCACAGGCCTTGGCAGCTGGAAGCAACTCCAGGGGCATGCCCCTTTGGGATGTGGTTGGGCCATGGTCTTGGACACGAGGCCCACCACTGCCAGATGGTGAGGAGCTACCTGAAAGTTACTTCCATACAATATCAAAGATCCTTGAGGATATTTTTTTTAAAAAAGTTTTAAATATATTAGACTCTCTTGATTGCCATTTTTTACACAAAGCTGCTGATACAGTATACAGAGTTTTAACTTTTTTTTCACATAAAATACATTTTTCTTAATTGTTCTCTGTACATCAGTGGCTTCTGGTCTGGTGAATTATTGCGGGGGGCTGGGGATCTTCAGACATTTCCTGGGTGTGCAGAGCCAGGCCCCACACTATGGCACTTGCATGCCCATGGGAAGCAGGTCCTCTGGCCAACTGGCCAGCAAGAGATTCCTATTAAGGAGAGGGCTATAGCTTTTAGCAAAGGGATCACTTCTATGGAGTTATCCACTGACCACATGACCCTTTGCTCTTATGTGCCCTGGGGGTGGGGAGGCTGTCCCCAGGCTACAATAGCCAGAGTTAAATATAGTCCTTCTGAGCATCTTACAAGGAGCACCTTCTGGGAAAGCAAATGGAAGAGAGAGCTCAAGATCAAAAAGTATCTGACACCAAGAACCCAAATAGTCTTAAGTTACTACAAAGCCAACAAACTGTGGTGAGATAGGACAGGGGACATACTCTTGTTAACTTTCTAAACCCATTTAAGTTGATCAAACAGTGCAGAGCAGTTTCATTGATGCTGCATATCTGATGGAGAACTACATCCTGAAGTCTTTAGTAGACTTGAGTCTAGGGTTCATTCAGCTTCCCTGAGTTACTGGCCAGAAACTCACCAATTTTCAATAGTCTGGGGCTTAGGGTGGGGTGAGAGCAAGGGCCAGAGCTCACAGTGAGCCACGTGGCACCTGCTCTAGAAGTAGCCTCCTTCAATCTGCCAGGAGCTGCCACTAGATCTGGATCTCAGCAAGAGCTGGGCATCTGGTCAACCTTGCCAGCATTCCTCCAGCTCCTTGATCCACACTGGCCCAAAAGAGAGGCAATTCATGAGGAAAAGCTTCGATGTTAAAGGAGAAGCTCTTTTTCTTCCCATTATCCATTGGTGGAGCAGGAAGGTTGCATAATAAATAGCAAAAATGAGTAAGAGACAATGAGTTTTAAAACCTGAGATGCATTTGGCAGCAAATTCCAGAATCTTTATTCTTCTAGACACTGACCTCAAACTGCTATTATATAGTGCCTCCAAGATGTTGGCCTGAAGGCAGCTAGGAACCCTGAGAGCTCCATATAGACTTGGGATGGTGTCTGCCTGGAACCCAAGATCCAGCATCTGCATTTAGTGGCAAATGTCATCTAGGGATATTGGACCAGGATGCAGTCACTCTATCTCAGATTAATTGAATGGGCTGCTGCTGATACCCATGGTCCTCAAGGGTTGAAAACCATAAATAGCAGTCTCCTCATTCTATCTTGTCCCTCCGTAACTCCCAGAACCTAACATAGTGCCTGGTATGTCACAACTACTCAATAAACTACATGAGTGAATCAATGGATGACCTTGGCCCCAGCTTGTCCTTCAACACCCAAGAGACCTACAGGAAAAGTACCCCAGGTACTTGGAAGCCCCAACAGGGAATGGTTTATCCCTGATTGAAAATATGAGCTTGTGCTCAAGAGTCTTTAGTTGTCTCCTGTTGGGGAATCAGTGGGATTCCCAGCCTTCTGGGTAAACAGGAACAGCCCAGGAGGCAGGAAGCAAGGGAGGAGGAGGGAATGGCCAGAGGGCTTAGAGTGGGCAATAAATGGCTCCAGTCTCTGTGCCCTGAGCAAACAGATCCAAAAACCTGCCCAGCTCTCTCTGGAGGAGTATGTGGCTTCTCTCGGCACTCCCCAGCTTACAGCTTAAGTTGGCTCAAAAGGAATTTCAGTGTTAGTCTGATCTGAACACTGTTTTCAGGTATATCCCTGCCCTGCTCCGGCCATAGGCTGAGATGATGGAGAGCCCACTCCAGACCTCAGGGACATAGGAGGCATCACACAAACGCCTGCAGTCCCCTGACCTGCCCCTCCACCCAAGACTGGAACTGTCCTGGAGTTGGGGTAGGGGGCCTGGTGCTGTGACCCTCCCTGCATACAAGAGCCACCAGGGGTACAATGACTCTCCTGAGCCCTGTGCTCTCCTGCCCAGGTGCCCTGCTCCTGGGAAAGCATCAGCCAGGCCCCCTGGGTGCCAGCTCCCTCTCTGGGTTAGGGGAGTGGGCGGGGACCACAGTGGGGACTGGAACTTACAAACAGCAGACCCATTACTAAAGCTGTGGCACAAAGGGAACTTCTCCAGCCACACAGCCTCCTGGCCCAGGTTTCCCCAGAGAGAAGTTTTCATAGGCTCAGAAAGGAGAGAGTTAAAGGGAACCCAGATTTGTCCCCCAAATTGCAGAATCTGGAACTAGGGGGCACCTTCAGAGCTCTAAGGAGGTAGTTTTAGGACAAATAAAAGGTGCACAGAGCAGGGAACAAACCTGCTCATTAGTTACACCAATGGGTTTTAGCTGAGCCATGGATAGTGCCCAACTCATGGGCGACAATTTGAAGGGGCTCATGAGAGAATGCAGTGGATGGGCAGCCTGCCCCACCGATGAATTGAATGGGTGGTCACATGGCTGGCTCCTGGCATGGAACAGGCTTGTGACCAACCTCCTCACCATCACTCTCTCCGGAATGCAGATCAGGGTGTTGGCCATGAGCACTGTGGATTTGCAGCCCTGGGGTGTCACCACTCCAGCAGGAA